CGTACGTGTCCGCAGAAGCCACCCTCTGTCTCTGGAAGGTGTCGGCTCTAGGAGCTGGCTTAGTGAAGGGATCGCTGCTTCCAGCTGCTAAAGGAACCTTCCCTGACTGCTCCATAACTACGGGTGATCTTGGGACGCCCAGAGGTTTGGAGAACTGCTCTGAGGCCATGACGGGCCTGGGCGTGTCTGGAGGCTTTGCATAGGGATCGCTGCTGCCTGGAGACGAAGAACATGAATCCCTGACTGGCGAAGGCCTGCTTCCCGATGGCTCCGTTACCTGAATGGGCCTAGCTACGGATGACTGAGGGGCACAGGCATCTAATGGGGCAATGGTATTTCTTCTAACAAAGTTTTGGTTAATGGGTGCTGGTCGAGGTGTTCCCACCATTTTAGCGTATGGATCCATTGGAGAAGGAGGTCTTGTGTTTGTGGAACCTGGAGAAAACATCTGTTGTGATGATGTCTGAGGAGTCTGAGACTGAGACAGTGAATCGTGGACTGGGATTCGGGTCGGAGTAGGGGGTGGGGCTTGTGGCTTCAGGAACACATCATCTGAGGATGCTGATGTAGGTGTAGCAGGTAGCTGCTGCTTTGTAAATAGATCCTTATGGAATGTCTGCTGGGCAGGAGACATACTTCCATTGCCAGTCTGTGGCGTTAAGGGGCTCTGGATCCCACTGCTCGGTGTGTCTGAGCCAGACTGGTTCAGAAGCTGTTGTGAACTGAACTGCTGCTGCTGTTGCTGTTGCTGCTGCTGTTGCTGCTGCTCGTTTTTCACCTGTTCAAGCTTCTGTGTAGCTTCTATTTTGGCTTGCTGCTTACTTTTTTGCCTCATTTGCTGTTTTAAAATTACGAGGAAAAAGGTTAGACGTCTAAGACCAGGGTATACAAAAATCTTTCGGATGACTGAATCTATAATTAAAACTTTAGGTCACATCAAAGATCAGTTACAAACTGCAAAGTTTCAGTGCAATGGGAGCAGAGGGTCTAGCTATTTGTAAAGTTCAATTACCTCGACATGCACCTTGATTGCCTGGGAAGAAGCATTTCCCAGGTTGCCTAAAAAGCAGCGTTGCTTTCTAACCTTACACTCAGAAGATGGAAGGTTACTGATTGCTATGACACTGATGGGAGGCAAACGGGCTCCGAGAGACAACCAGCCCAATTTGACGCAGTAGTCTGCAGGGCAAGGTTACTGCAATATAGGGTATGTCAAAACAAACTACTGCACTGTCCAGCCACACAGAGAAAGGATAACCTATCTCATTAAGTGTTAGGAGTCAAAGTTTTAAAAGAAACTTTTCTAACATTTACAAGCTGCTTCTCTTCTGATAGCGTCTATTTTCTTCCTACACAGAATGGCTGACTCTGTACTCTTCCACAAAGAAAGATTAAAACTGATTTTATTGCAACAGATTCCGACAACGCAATAAAAAGCTGGAAGAAAAATATAACAAAACACCCTAAATGGAACACACCTGTCTGAATTTCCACTCCTGCTCATGTTCCGATTCCCTCTGTTTTAATGGATCTTTAAAGAGGTCAGAGTCGATGCGGGAGCCAGGATCAATGCTATCCTGTTGCTGCTGCCTTTTCATGGAGTCATTTGACATCTGTACTTTATTGATGCGCAAAGCAGCTCTATTATCTCTGGCTTTTTGCTGGGAAAAGATTAAAAGAAAAAAACGTAGTTAGCCTTATTTTCTTCTTTTAAGTGTGAACATTGCATCTGTTATTACTACAAAATCTAGCACCAAATTATTTGTAATTTTGAAGCCTGTTTTAATCATACACATGCTTGTGAAAACTAAATTATGCACTTTAAAAGGAATTCCACAGTGAAAATTCTTCATCTCTGTAAGAAATTCTGCATTTAGTATACATGGAAAGAACAAAGGAGTTGTTAGCAGTAGAGGTTTTCTATACATTAGGAGTGTCTGTTCAGGCACTGTGCTGTGCCAAGAAAGCATGAACCCTGCCAGTTCACCTTTCAGATCACATATTGGTGTGGTCTGCAGTCTGAAGACATGAGCACAGCAGATGATGTTTGGATCAATAAAGGCCACTAATGTGGAGAACTTCAATGACAAGAAAAATACAGTCTACTCCATTAAATAGCCTCTATAGATCTCTGTCTGTGTTAAGTTAGCAGTATAAACATAGGATATGGGCTTATGGATCAGGAAAAATTGGATGGAAGAACAGCTATTTCTCTTCAATGAGGCATTTTACAGCCATACTGACACTTTAAAGCATCTAATGGAAGTTTCAAAGAGTCTGTTTTATAACCAATCTAGGATGCGATTCCTTTTCTGAATCAAACCCTCACATTTTCACAATTTTATTTGCAGTTGGCAAGTAGGGGTTGCCTAGCAGAAAAGGCTTTAATCCTTCCCCTCCAACAATGGAACAGTGACATAGAGGAGAGCACCAGTGTCACACCAGCAGAAGAACCAGTGTCATTTTCTCCTCTAAGCCATGGGACGCTAAGTCTCATGTGCAGACTAAGGAAAGTAAAAAGCCAACAGTGAAAATTTGCTAACGCTCTTCTGAATTTAATTTCTAAGGTAGCCTTTACTCATCCCCAAAGAGTGTAAGTCCCTCAGGAGAGGTACCACAGGTTCTTGTGTGCACAACGCCAGAAACATCAGCAACAGCTGAAGGGCAAGAACACACAGAGTGCAGCTTCCATGAGGAAATAACTGCTTCCTGCTATCTAAATACTCCTGTGTAGGTGTGTGCACTTGCATGCACCATCCTCCTGAACGTGAAGGGAATTAGTTTTGCAGCTGCTTTTTGGATATCCATCAGGAGAACAGGACTGCCTTTGTTAAGAACAATGAAGAAGGAAAAAATAAGTAAAGAAATAACTGTAATGTGATAAATGCCTAGATAAAAATCCATCCAGGTAAGTGGATAGTATCTTATCAATACTGCACAGAAGGAATCACTGAGATTAAATACAGTACGGGCAAAAGGACATCGAGGTCCAAAGGTGCTGAAGTTAGAGGCCTGAATAGAAAGCAGAATAATGAAGATCCTGCAGTGATAAAAAGAAGATAATAGAGAATTATTCTTCCAAGTGGAAAGGGGTTCAGAAAGATCAAGAGCTCCACTTCCCACATTGAGTTTGGGGTACAGATTTATTCTCTAAAAGCTGTCAGAGAGATAAGGAGATAATTTTCATTTTTGCAGTTCGAGGTGACATGGGTACTGGCAAGCTCTGAGCCAACAACACTGATGGGAGTCAAATTTGCTTATTAATGGGACTATATTGAAAAACCACATATGGGGGAGGCTACAAAACAGAAAATATAACTGTGCAAAATCCACAGAAATCAACAAAGTAAGAACGATCAATTGCTGTTGTGAAGAAACAAAGAAAAGAGGAGAACCAGGAGAGAATAGGGATGTGACAGGAACTTAAAACAATGGCTGGGGAAGTCAAAAAGAATGAATAATATAGGTTCTGAGATTTGGATGTGGACAGGCTTCAACAGGAGTCTATGGGGCCAGATGGGATCCACCCAAGCTTACTGAAGGAACTGGCAGAAGTTCTCACCAAACTGCTTCCCATCACTTATCAGTAATCTAAGCTAATCAGGAAGGTCCCAGTGGACTGAAGGTTAGTAAATGTGACACCCATCTAGAAAAAGGGCTGAAAGGAGGACCTGGGCAACTACAGGCATGTCAGTCTGATCTTGGCGCTGGGCAAGGTCATGAGGCAGATCACTTCGAGTGCCATCACAGGACATATACGACAACCAAGGGCTCAGGCCCAGCCAGCATAGGTTTATGAAAGGCAAGTCCTGCTTGGCTAACTGATCTCCTTCTATGACAAGATGACCCACTTAGTGGATGAGGGAAAGGCTGTGGATGCTGTCTACCTGGACTTCAGTAAAGCCTTTAACAGCATTTCCCACAGCATCCTCCAGGAGAAACTGGCTGCTCATGGTTTGGATGGGCGTAATCTTTGCTTGGTGAAACACTGGCTGGATGGCTGACCCCAAAGAGTGATGGTGAATGGAGCTAAGTCCAGCTGGCAGCCAGTCACAAGCAGTGTTCCCCAGGGCTTAGGACTGGGGCCTGTTCTGTTTAATATCATAATCAGTGATCTAGATGAGGGATAGAGGGCCCCTCAGTATGTTTGCAGATGACACAAAGCTGGCCAGAAGCGTAGATAAGCTCGAGGGTAGGAAGGCTCTTCAGAGGGATCTGGACAGGTTGGATTGATGGGCCAAGGCCAAGTTCCAGGTCCTGCACTTGGATCACAACGATCCCAGGCAATGCTACAGGCCTGGGGAAAGCTGTCTGCTGGAAAAGGACTTGGGGGTGTTGGTTGACAGCTGGATGCATATGAGCCAGCAGTGGTCCCAGGTGGCTAAGAAGGCAAAAGGCATCCTGGTTTGGATCAGGAATAGTGTGGCCAGCAGGACTAGGACAGTGATTGTCCCCCTGCACTTGGCATTGGTGAGGCCACACCTGGAATACTGGGTTCAGTTTTGGGCACCTCACTACATTGAGGTGTTGGATTGTCTAAAGAAGGGCAATGAAGCTGGTGAAGAGCTTGTGAGGAGCAGCTGAGGGAACTGGGGTTGTTTAGTCTGGAGAAGGGGAGGCTCACGGGAGACCTTCTTGATTTCTACAAATACCCAAAAGGAGGCTGCAGCAAGGTGGGTGTCATTCTCTTCTCCCAAGTAACAAATTATAGGACAAGAGGAAACAGCCTCAAATTGCACCAAGGGAGGTTTAGGTTGGACATATGGAAAAACTTCTCCACCAAAAGGGTTATCAAGCATTGGAACGGGCTGCCCAGAGAGGTGGTGGAGTCACCACTCCTGCAGGTATTTAGTGTGTAGATGAGGTGCTTAGGGACATGGTTTAGAGGCAGACGTGGCAGTGTTGCCTTGAAGTTTGACGTGATGATCTTAAAGGTCTTTTCCAACCTAAACAACTTTATGATTCTAAGAGGTTTCAAGAAAGTGTAAGGGTCACCCTTTGAATGGCAGAAGTTCTACAGAACAGAATCAATGACCACATAACTCCAGATAGCTACTACAAACATGTGTTCCCTCGACTCAGATGTGAAGAAGGTGAATGCTTTTGGAGAGAAAAATGGAGTCCTTCATGTTCCCCACAACATGGAAGATATCAAGAGTTTCACTGCAAAGCAGCAGAAGAGAGTAAGGGAAGGGCAAAAAAGAAAAGATCAGTGAGAGGGAAATAGGAAAGAGGGGGAGTCACATAATGATTTGTTCTTATCATAGAATCACAGAATGGTTTGGGTCAAAAGGGATCTTAAAGATCAAGTAGTCTTAAGTTTCAACTCCTCTGTCATGGGCATGGACACCTGCCACTAGACCAGGTTGCTCAAAGCCCCAGCCAGCCTAGTCTTGAACACCCCCAGTGATGGAACATCCACAGCTTCCCTGGGCAACCTGTTCGTGTTGTGCCACCCTCGAGTGAAGAATTTCTTCCTAATATCTCATCTAAATCTACCCTCATTCAGTTTAAAACTGTTAACCCTCATCCTGTAACTACACTCCCTGATGTAGAGTCCCTCCTCATTTTTCCTGCAGGCCTCCTTTAAATACTGGAAGGCCACTTATGAGGTCTCCCCAGAGCCTTCTCTACTGCAGGCTAAACCACCCCAACTCTCTCAGCCTGTCCTTCTGAAGAAACTGGTGAGATTCTGTGCAGAAAAAGACATAGCAAACGAAGACTTGAGGCATGAATCAAACGTAGCAGAGAGGTAGTGGGAACCACAAATGTTCTCGTCCCAGCTGACGTCGTTAGGTTGCACAATACTACTGTAGTTTATTCCAAGATGAAAAGCAAAGAATATGGATAGAAATATTCAGAGTTATGTTAAAATAGAAAGGCATTCTTGGAGTAACTGAACTTTCACTAATCCTAAAACTTAATTTCTTTTAATAAATCCAATGAAAACCTTATAAATGAAAGACATGTTTGCTGGAAGTATGCAAATGCAGGTGGTAATTGTTCTTACCACATATGGAGCCCTCTCCTGTGAGCTTGCTTTCCTCCACAGTTTAGCAATCTGCTTCACTCTTGTAGCCCAGTCTGCAATCAAAAAATGTGTTAATACACAAGGCTTTGATAAATCTATTTTACAGTCTTTCAAACCAAGATGCATAAATTGCTGCAAAATATTTAACTTTTTTCTGTAAATTGCTCACCTGGGAATTCTTCCTTCAGGTTAGGGAAGTTGATATTTGTATAGAGAACAGGTGCTACTGTTGCCATTTCACCCAAAGCTTCTTCTTTTTCCCACTTAAGAGTGCTTCTTTGAGCATTGGACATGGTATCACCTTCACCTTCCAAAGGTGGAGCAGATGGTGCCCATGAGCTGTTCGGGTCACTTACCATTGGATTGAATGCTGGATTCTTATCCCTGAGAAATCAGAAGAGGATTTGGTTTTATAGACACATTGCTCTCAATCTAAGAAACCACAAAAAATTAGCAAAGTACTTCTGTTTGCTATTTCAGAAGTGAACAGGGTGCAAGAATACAGACGTTTTTGTAGTGCCTGTCAAGAAATAAATTGTTAAATACTAACAATATCACAGTATTAATAACAAGAACACCCCCCAAGTGATGGATGCTAAACCATCGATACTTTTGATTCCCCATCCTGACTTACCTGGTATCAGCATATGGTTGTTGTGTAATGGGAGAGAATGTCCCCAGGCCACCTCCAGCAGTCAAAGCTGTATGAGGGAGATGAGGGTTAGGGCCAATCAGGCCATTCATGAGGGGAACTCTTGGAAAAGTGTTCTCTCCTGGAAAGAAGAATTTTAAATTACTGCTTTAAAGGGTGACTACTTCTAAGGTAGAGACAGAAGTTTGCAGTGAAAAAATGATGTCTCATGTAATGAAAAACTAACCACTTTAAAATTTTATAGTACTGACCTTAGATTTTTAGAAAAGATTTTAAATCAGTTTACATTGCTTCCCTACAAGCTTAAGGGATTATCTTCTACTCTGTCACAACCCTGCACAGATGTTCTTTTTCTTGTCTGAAAAATCATGGTTTTTAAAGAGGATTTCTAAAATTTTTGCAGCAGCCCATGCTGTGGTACTGCACTTTTTATTGAGACATATTATGAAAGGCTAATGGTCTGTCATATTTGCTATACCCAGATCCAAGCAGTAAGCATGGAGAAAGTTGTTTTCAGTCCTTGCAGAATTATCATTATCCACCTGAATTAAACATCTCCTCTTCTGAGATTTCTGAGCAGTGTACCGAAGTAAGCCTCATTATCTGCTAACTCCCTAATTTGTAACCAATGAAACAGATAAATCTAGTCCAACGAGCATCAGCATTTTCTAATTAAATGTCCAGCCTAGCAGTATGAAGGCAGAAAATTTTATTTATTTGATTACAATATTACAAACGTGGCACGGGCACATTCATGCCAGCAGATGGTATTTGCAGATGTTCCTACACAGAATTAACTCCGGCCTTTGAATCCTGTCACTTAAGTGAGATTATAACTGTTGTCCCAGTGTTTTCTTAAAAGCAAAGTAGCAGCTTGGGAATTAGATGCATCTGTAGGATGAACCTGTATCATTATCTCATGCTTTAGGAGACTGTCTTCTGATCTGTAGGTTATATACGTTACACAGCAAGTACAGTTTGGATGAAGGTAGCTCAATATTTAGGAGAACATGCTTTAATATTGCTGCTAGATAGTACACAGTAACTGTGAAGACCTGGATGGAGAGCCAAGCCTCTGCTTTGCACTGTGGGATCACATCTTTATGAGAAGAGAGCATTAATTTTATTTGAAATTGCTGAAACTTGATGCAAGCTTTCTCATTACTGAAGCATTTATCTCACAGAAACATGTGGATCATTACACCGTAACTGAAACAAATTACGAATTTAAAACTTTGTAATTGTGGCAGTTCACACAGGGAGAAGTTAAACAATCCTACAGAGCTTGAAAGCTGAAGTTATCTCCAAATACTCAAGTAACCAGGAAACACACAATAATATCTATATTATCTCTAGCTTTAAGTCACCTCATTATTTGCTTTAAACTCCTTCCTTTCTAAGACTTCTTGAAGTCTTTTTTATGGAAATTCGTGCAAGTAGGAAACCAGTAATTTTTATTCTTATGATTAATTCACTGGTGAAATAAATTTGCATACGACATTTTGTAGTACCAGTATAACAGAATGGGCACTCTTCACAGGAGTTCAGGGAAAATCTACAGGATGTGATGTGAAGAGAAGAGTGCATTTAATTATGCTCACACATACTGCTTAAAAAAAAAAAAAAAAAAAAGGTTACTCCATTGGTAACAACAATAAATAAAATCAGTCTGCCCCTTGCTTTCAATGTAAGACCAAGAATATGCTGTATCAACTCACGGTATTTTTAGTAGTAATGAACAAAATAAAATATAATCTCCCAGATACACAGAAAAAATGACTTAGCCTTCTCTCTGTTATTGGGGTAGGACTAGCTAATATGTTAAATTGAATTCTTAAGAAAATTAATACTCAGTAAACCACTGTGGTATAGACTGTTTCTTTACCCTTGAGGAAGTACTCAAAAGTAACTACAGTCCCAAGAGAGCACATGCTTTATCACAGACAAATTTCAAAACTAGGAAAGCGTCAGCTAAAATAAAAACTCCAATATGTCAGAAAAATATAAAATAACTGTCCTTTTCTATTAGCAATATTCACATGCATGTTAATCATGCACCCCCTTCAGAACTGTTTTAGAATACTTCAGAAACTATCAGTGGCAGATTCCACAGATTAACAGTGGCAGAAAGTAAGTCGTGTCCTACTTCCACACCAGCTTTGAAAGATGCACAACTCTTCTGACCAGGCTGCTGGGTTTAGAAGTAACAAAGGAACAAACCTTGACTGTGCAAAGACATCAGTTGTGGTGGAGGTGGAGGCTGTGGCAAAGGAGCTGGCTGTGTGGTTGCTGGACTTAGTACAGCTGTGAACAGATCTTCAACATCCTTTCCTCCCAGCTCTGCAAAAACACTGTGTGTGAGCTAGCTGGCATTGTTTATGGACTGTATTATTGTCCTGGTTTTGGCTGGGCTAGAGTTCATTTTCCTCCCAGTAACTGCCTATTTGATTTAGTGTGAGAATACTGGTGACAACACACCAATATTTTAGTTGCTGCTTATCCTAAGTTCAGGATTTTTCAGTTTCCCATGCTCTGCCCGCAAGCAGGAGCACAAGAAGCTGGGAGGGACCGTGGCCAGGACAGCTGACCCCAACTAGCCAAAAGGATATTCCTTACATAGTCCATCATGCTCAGTGCATAAACTGGGGGGAGGTGGCTGGGGGGAGGGAGCAAATTGCTGCTTCGGCATCGGTTGGCAGGTGGTGAGCAAACATTGTGCATCACTTTCTTTTCTTGGGCTTTGTTCCTCTCTCTTTTGGTTATCTTCCTTTTCATTACTATTACTATCATTATTACTGTTGTCTTGTTATTATTTTATTATAATTATTAAACTATACTTATCTCAATACACAAGTTTTACTTTTTTCCCCAGTTCTCCCCATTCCACTGGTAAAGTGGGAGAGGGAGCAAACAGCTGCCTGGTGCTTAGCTGCTGGCTGGGATTAAACCATGACATTTTGATAAAAGACAGTGATTAGAACACGTACCTGGGATTTTGTACAGTTTGCCAAGAATAGCACCTGGACAAAGTAAAGACAACACAGAATGAGTACTCATCAAAAGATGCAATATAATCAATTAATTCTGCAACCAAGTTGAAATATGTATATACAATACATAGGTAATGCAATGTTAGAAAAAAGTGAAGATCTTTACTTAAGTTTTCTAGAAGACCACAACTGAGGACAAAAATATTACCATCTGTGACCATTTTGTCTAATTCTGGACTGAGGATTCCATCCAGCTGTTCTTCACTCAATGGCCGTGAACTCTGGTTGACATTCGGCTGAGGCAGAGAAGAAGGATCATCAGAGATGGGACCGATATCCAGTCCAGCTGAAGGAAGAAAGAATATTAAGTTAGATATAAATAGTAAAAGGTACTGGTATAGAATAAAGAGCATAAACCTTTTTCTTGCCCTAGAGCTGAGCTATAAACTAAACCAAGACCATCTAAGATTTGAAAAGTAAAGCAAAATAAGACATTCATGAGAAAAAAATACTATTTACCTCCAGTTTACTGTATTGTTTGAGGAACGTTAACTGAACAGAATGCAGCTGGAAGAATGTGAAATAAGACTACTGAGTTTAGGTACAACATGTTTTTAAGTGTATACTTTTCAGTATATACAGCTATTTTTCACATTAAAATAGAAAAAAAAAAAAAAATCACACCAGTAGTCAATATGGCTCATCCTCATGTACCTTAAGATTCACTCCAAATGTTCTTGTAATGTTACCCAAAATATCTACAGAAATGCTGCTGAAGTGTAGTCTATACCACACACTTTAGAGCAGTTTCTGCTTCAAAAACAACTGCTGAATATTCTAGGTTACATCAGACAAAGTGATTTGTTGGTACTGAGAAAACTTATCTTCCTACATAAATCTCCAAACATCCTTTGTAAGTAAATTAATATCTCAAATGAGAAAAAGATTTGGGAAAAAAAAAAAAAAAAAAACAGACTTCTGTTTTTAAAGCACATTTCTGTATTAGATACCAAATAAACCCAAATTTAAAATAATGAAACATGCCTTTTTACTTATTGTCAACCTATGCTTTACATAAAGTGATGAATCATCACCCAGTGGAAACAAAAATATTGATGCTGACTGCTTTATTCATGCTTTAGTATATTTGCATTGTTAAAATGCTTTTAATTGACAAAAGATACCACCATAAGAACTACACACTACTACTAGAAGAAATAGTAAAATTAACAGTGGCAGCAAGAAAATGCATGGTTTTGTATCATGAAACACAAAAAACTCAAGAAGATTTACAAAAGCTGTAAGCAAAACTTTATGCAGTACTCTTAAACGCGGAGTGCAGAGTTTATAGGTTGTGTTAGAGTCAAACACCACAGGAAGAGTGGAAGATGAAAGCACGAATTAGTGACACAGTAAAGGAGCACTAGTTTCTACACATGCAGTTCTTTCAGCTAAGACCACTAGGAAAGGTGACTACTTCTAACCATGGATCATCCATTGTTCAGTTTCTTACCAAATGGGGAGGGTGAGTTCTCAACCTGGAAAGTGCATAAATCAAGACCTACAGGACCCAAACCAGATAAAATGGATGATTATAACACGAAAACAAAAAAAAAAGTAAAGAAAAAGCTGCATGCTGAAAAAAAGCTAGGCAGGTATGATAGACAACGGCAGCTACGTTGTATTCTCTCTTAAGCAGCAAAGCAAAGAGCCAAGTAAAACAAAACGTTGAAAAGGCTGGGGATTTTTTTTGATAGAAGAAACTAAAATCATCTCAAACCAAGGTTTTCTTAAGACATGGAAATTGTATTTGAAATCACCTAGAGCACAACCTACAGATACAATACAGCAAATACATCTACAATAAAGAGGAAAAAAATAAAATAAAATACTGGAGAGACCTTATGAACATACATACCCGAATGATCTCCAGACTTTACCAAATCATCCGAAAGTATCCCAAGAATATCATCATCAGTATTTAAGACCTCAGAAAGATCAGCTAAAGGATCATCGGTGCTACCTGTGTAAGATGCAATAAATGAGATCAGCCAGTCATGGCATTTATACACGACTCTGGTGATGTATATGTATAGCTTGCACATACTATAGCTGGAGCTATAAACTCAAACACAGATTTACCAGGCTGTAAGGGTCTTCTGCAGGGTGTCATGTACTGCAAGTCACCCTGGGGTGACAGACTGCTGACCAGCATCCCCTCCCAACCAGTACCGCAGCCACCTTCATGTGCTTATGTTGTTTAGTGTTTTCTCCAATACAGTAAAAATGATAATATAGTCAGTCATGTAGAAGAAAGACTGGATGATTTTAGGGGAAAAAAATGCCAACGTTTATTGAGAACTTGCAACTTCTTAGACACAAAGGCCTATGAGTGTAGAAGTCAAATAGGTTTTCTAAAGGACACACCTCACAGCAAATCAACAGGGAATATATTTAAAAAAAAAAAAAAGGTAAGAAAGGGATCAGTTACTTCTCTTACCATCACTATCTCTCTTAAGACTACAGAACAACCAGTTACTACACCCTGAGAGGGATAAATATAAGAGTAGGAAGCTGTAGTGAGTAAATGGAAATTGGAGATGCTGCCTTTAAGATCAGAAGAAATCACAAAGAAATGAGAACAGCCAGAGATAGAAATGTCATATTTGTTTGTCGTCTAGGAAAAACTGGCCTGGTCCTAGCAATAAATTATTTAATATTAAATAATAAATTCTGGATATGATTATCTTCTTGACATCCAATTCATTAGAGAGAAAAGACGCCAAATGGCCCATCTGGTTTTATTAACTAGTTTTTCAGGACTCTTACAGATGTGCAACATTTGAAGAAAATTGTTTGACAAATAAATAAAAGCTGAGAAAAATATTTTTCAGAAAAAAACCTTCAGACAATCGTGACTACACAATCAATCATCATCAGACCAATGGAACACCGTGAGATGGTAAATGGACATCTAATTAAACTGACCAAAGGGATTAATACAAATCCTAAAATGTATAATGGGGAAAACAAATCTGGGCAGGTTGAAGAGGGACCAAAAAGTCAAACAATAAACAAATTTCATACATATGGGTTATCTTTCCTGCAACCCAATTGCCCCAGGAAAACACTTCTAGCTCAATTCAGAGGCCTGGTGCCAAGGATTTACTTAGGTCATGAGGGTACTTTCCAAGCTGCTAATTCTAATGAATTAGAAATTCCTTCTGTTTTTCAGACAGCTCTTCCCTTTTACCATTACTGAAAGTCAAAATGAAAATTATTTTTCTTTGCTTTATTATTTTTATTCTCTATTTTTATGCTTTGTAATGCAGACAAGAAGATACCATCCTAATAAATTACATCTGCCACTCAACGAGGTGGATCAATGTACCAGTGCAGACCAGTCCATTTACACATACCTACAGAATATGGCTCCTCTTGGTATCAGCAGAAGTATTAAAAAGTGTCTTAAAACCACATCAGTTTCTGGGTATAGTTACTTTGTGTACCTGATAAAAAGTACTATAAAATGTGAAGTGTTAAACAGAACCTAGTTGCTGGGGTTCTAGTGGGTTTGGTTTGGTTTTGTGCTTTTGGGTTGGGTTGTTGTTTTTGTTTTGTTGTTTGTGTGGGGTTTTTTTTGATGGTTTGCCTTTTTTTTTTTTTTTTGAGATCCTTGTTTCCCTTCTGGCAATGTGGCCTACTTACCCAAGTAACTAACACCAGGCACTGCAGGGTGATGTTAATGGCTGCAGCTGGCTGGCAGGCAAAGGACTGACCTTAGCCATTCTTTAACTTTCCTGAATTCCTGCTTGAAGGCAAGTAAATCTCAGGGAGAATAAAAAACCTCATGAAGGAAGCACCATTACTGTATTAGCAGCCTTTAATTCTTCTGTACCATTCTTTGTTATGGTGTATTTCTCCACAGCCCTTAGTAATGTGCTTGGAAGCAGTCCCTAAAAATTCAACTTCTAATTTGAATATAAATATATTGTATAAGTAGCTTCTAGCTCAGGCAGAAAGATATAACTGAAGAGTTTACCACCCATAGCTACAAACTGGCCGTGAATAAATTCAGGCTTCAAATTAGTGGGCTCCTAACTATTAAGGCAATCAGATTCAGTAATGGCCTTCCGATGAGATTAGTAGGTTGGAAAAAAACTACCTGCTTTCAAAATGGAGCTTGTTAAGTCTATAAAAAGGCCGAGTGTTGGTGGTAACAGAAGGCTAGACTCTATGATCCGTAAGCTTCATATAAGACATGTAATCTAAAGCATATTTTTAAATTCTTCTTTTATTTTTTTTTCCCTCTTTTTAATTCCATGTGTGCTAAATATTATCTTGGAAACAACTAAATCACTTTAGTCAGCTGCTTCACACCAGAATCAATAGCTGGTTGACATCTGCTGCCAAACAAATAGCTCAATACTGCTCATTAATTTGACTCTTTCAGAATGGAGATGAAAACTAAGACAAAGCAGAAAGGAAAATAATTGCTTGTAATGTTGGATCTCTAAGAGTGAACAGTTCTATCTCGTGATCCCTATTTCTCCAATGCATTTACTTTTATTTATTTATTAAGTTCTAAAAGAACAAAACTGCCTCTCCCAAGGCTGCAGCCACCCTAAGATGTTTAATCACACAGTAACATATCTAGCTGTAAAATGTCCCAGCAGCACTTGAATTAGTTACACAAAGACTCAAGATGACTCCATTCCTTTTGTCTAAAAAGAATTTCTTCCACATTCTCTGGAGACCCTACTTGAACTGATTAATTTTTTAGCATCTCTATAAAAAAATCAGTGTATTTAAGCTATTTTGAACTAAAGGGAAGATCCTTTACAGAACACACCTCACCAAATGGTCTCTTTTTCATCAGAGATGCCCAGCTCTGATGACACCCAGAGAAGAATGTTTTCCTTGTGGAAAAGACCTATCCAGTTAGGCAAGGACTCTCACAGGAGTCAGCAATCCTTGTGAGAAATGACACTGTAGGAAAATAACCCAGTCGGTAACAACAGAGCCCTACAGCCTCCCAGTGCAGTGAATCCAGCAGCTCATGTGGGTCCTGCTCCAAAGCCAGGTCTGTATCAGAACAAGGAAAACATCAGAGGTGCTCTGAGACCCTGTTCTCACCTCCAATCCTCTGCAAGACCAGCCAGAAGGGAAGATGTGACTGTTGCTACCTCAGCAGTTAGCCTGATGACCAGAGTCTCCACCACTCAGAATGAACCTGTCTCACATGAGTGGATGCTATTGTGGAAGCAATCATCTCCCACAAAGTCACAGCTGAAGAGTTAAGGAAACCTGCACTGGAACTGATTGATACTGGCAGATGACTTCACCCACTGGTGCTCCAGCTACAACAAACAGCTCTATCTGGACACAACTTTGGCTGGAAATCTGAACGGTTTAAAGACAACTGTCGAAACAGTCTTATGGGCAGAACACTGCACTTTGAGTCTCTCGTATATAAAATGGGAAGGACAGTGTGTTATTCACTAAAACTGTCACTAGTGGTCTAAACATTAACAGCTACCCCATTATGATTTATTTCTGATTAAAAAGAAGAGGAAATGACAAAGTTCTATAACACTGCTTATTAATAAAGAACAGACTTTTTAAAAATTCCTTTCAAACTCTGGAAAAATAGAACACTAAATCAACAAGAAGTTCACAAATTTCTAGAACCTTCTACTACTGTAATACATGAACATTAGTGACTTTAATCTTGCAGTTGGATAGGTCAGCAAAGAATTCTGTATCTGCGTTTCTCTGGCTTCAAAAGAATGCTGGGGTGAAAAAAAGTCTCTGTGAGCCCATTTTCTTGTAGTGTTGGAACCAATGAAACACAGACCCCAAAACACCCCATTTGCAGTGGTTTCCCCTTCAGGGGAAGTTAACTTTTGCATTCTCTATTACTCACAATTTCAACTGTGTAACAATCAATGTTCAATTATAATGTAGCCTTTTGCTATTCATTTAGCAGATTTCAGAGAGTAACAATCACAAGTAAGTGACCTTTCTTCAAATGACTCTATGGACATGGAAAATTATATCAATGTGTGTAAACATTTTTAGATGGAAAAACTTATGATGACAAGCTGAAACACAAACCACAAATTAACTAGCATACACAAGAAATAGTAACAATTTTTTAAAAAATACAGAACGGCAAAGACACCTCTAGCTAACAGCACATCTATAAGATGAGGAGAAAAAAAAATAATTAGGGGGGACAGTAAGGTTTTCACTTTGAATTGCTCCTTTGTGTGAAGCTGCTCTTTCAGCAGCACTTTACAACCCTCTGGCTATTTGCAAAACTCTCAGCAGTGACTTCAGTAAGGTTTTGCAATAGCAAAAGCAAAACATTGCCTACAGGCTACAAACTGTACCTGGAAAGGGCACTCATGTTCAGAAAGGACATGGTGAACCAAAAATTCCGAGGAGACTGGCAACCTAAAATAATCTAAAACATTAAAGAAAATAAAAGTTGGATGATATTCATCCAACTAATATTCACTAGACTACTAAAAATATCTTTTAATTAGAGTATTTTCATCTTCTTCTATAATGGATCTGTATGCTTAGTCAGAAACAGAATTCATTTTCATGGATTCTACAGACATGGACATTACAGTCAAGGAGTTTCAGATCTGCATTAAGCGCCAACTGTTGTGGCTCCTTCTGAAAGAGCTGGAGCCCTTGAGCTGAGTATCACTGATTATCAATGTAACTTAACCTCACAAGGACAGTTAATATACAAAATGTTGAAAAATACATTAGGTAAACACTGCAAGAAAAATGGACGTGAGAGTGGAAAAGCCCCAGCTGCAAAAAGAAACTCGAACTACTGAATTATCACTAACTTTAGCTTTGTATACCTTGAGGTCCCAGTTTTGTCTGAGCTGAAGTGGAGGTTGAGCTAAGGAGGGGATCAGATGAAGGATCCAGGAAATTGGTGGTCAGGTTTGTTTTACATGAGAGTGGAAGTGATTCTTCGGGTAAATTATCTAAGGTCATCTTGTTTTGCCTACTGGTATCCAGTAGGTCCTTCCCAAAGAAAGCTTCCTGCAAAGAAGACAAAATAATGTGACATAGGAAGAACACTGTATCTATTGAAAAAGCTGGATAAACAAAATTAAATTCCAATGACTGCTAGAAACACAAAAACAAAGCCTCAGTCTCACATGCCTTCCAGTATGGCAGTATCTCTTCCAGGCTATGAGGTGTGGATACAGCAGATGCAGCTTAACTTAGGTAGCCACATTATTAATATTTTATGAGTCAATTCACACCTTAAATTATACAGAAAAACTATAGTCTTCTTACGTATATGTGGCACAGACAGTGTATCAATACACTGCTACATATCCCAAGTTATTCAGTACTTAAAATATTTCTCCTTGCACAAAAAGACAGCTGAAGAAGGGGAATACTACTGGGCAACTTGAAGAAGTTTATGAAACAGTAAGTTTATGGAAAATGTGCAAGCACACTGTGGTCCAAACTCTAGAACAACCATACCCTGTGTTTCAGTCAGCACAAAAGCATCCCAACATTGAACTGCAGTCACAAAACATCTGAAGATGTTTAATGAATATTAGTATCTTTTAAAAGATTACATAACAGCTACCATCCACCTGAGCCTGAGTACTCAGTAATTTAACAACCTACCGAATTTTAAAGCCAGCTTTTATTCATTATATAAGAACCTTTTCTGCTTTCATGTAGTCCTTAAAATCTTGATTTAGCATACAGCTTCCAAAAATAAAGCCAAAGATTTTACACTATCAATTATTCCAACATGAGCAAAAGAAGAATCTAAGAAATGTTCTACAGTTTACAAGAGTAAAGCATGCATTAAGGAAAAAAAATATTTATCCTTATTAATCCAGAGAAAATTTTGGTTAAATATTTTCTTTCCCACTCACTTCCCCACTTATGAAATACAAATTATTTTTAGACAGAGATTGTTCTCTCTGTCATTTCTTTGCTTTCAATCCATAGTCCAGGTTGTGAAATTTGGTGAACAGCTACAAGGTAATAAAGTTTTTCATGAAAAAGGTGTCTGAGAAGAGCAGTGAGCCAACTAATGTTCTCAGTGAGAGAGATAAATAAACCAGTCAGTTTATAAACTGGCTGAAGGTAGGTAAATTGCTCCGCCATTGTTAATATCCTGGTTATTATTCACCACTGCTAACTCTTACCTGCTAGGGACATCATAGAATTAATGGAGGGGAAAGAGCAGAGATTATTGTGATAGGGAGATGCAGGGCATATGAAAACACAAACTGTAGGAAAACAAGTTTCTCTTGTTTTCAAATCATGTTCTATAATCTTCTGAAAAGAAAAATTAGTATCTTGAGGAAATGGCATGATGAGGCTAAGACATCCTACCAAGCTGAATGCTGAAAACATCACGTGTAAAGGCTTCCTTTCCCCAGCCTCCTCTCCCAGAACAAGCAGAGATCTACACATTGAGAGATAACCCTGAAGGACTGGAGATTTAACATAACATACAGCTTTCTGTACCAGCTTAGGAACATTGTTTACAGTAAACCCATTTCACTTGAATGATAAATTGGAAAAAGAAACATTAATGACTTAAATGAACTATGAATCAACACAGATAAAGATCAGGCTTTAAAATGGATTCACACAAGAAGTATACCAATAGCTTTACCTGCAAGTAGGCAGGAAAGGTTTCTTCAAGTTTATTTTTCTTTTTCCTGTAACGCTTTTTTATTTTCTCAGTACTTTCAGAAGCTGGGGTAGACTCCTCAACTGGAGTGTCTGGCAGCTGTTCTGTCCAACCTAAAAAGTAACATTCAGGCACAAATAAATATCTTGCTCTAAAGGTACAGTGTCAGTGTACCTAACGTATCTTACTACCTGTCTGGGTGCAGGGATTTACTGAGTGTCACTCTAGATGCATTCTAAAGGTGGCTTTTATCTATCCACCTGTGAACTGACACCTGATCATCTGGGCTCTGGGAGTAAGAAATAAATACTATATGTGATACTAGGCACACCACTGCCTTGTGCCTCACCAACTGAAATCAGACTTTTAACTTTCCTACCTCTAACTCACCTAAAAATATGGTAACTTGAGAGAAATTATAGGTGCCATTCAACCAGATATTTGAAAGATATTGTCACTGAAGTAGTATCTCCAAAATCTTCAGTGTTGATTTACACACTAATTCATTTTATACACTCATTGTTCTCAAATTAAAAGTAAAACAACTTTTAAATCCAAGAAAAGAGTGTTGTATAAATAATGAAATGGCCAGAAAAAGAAATCTATAAAGGAGCCCTTAAAAAAAATTACACATTTATTCAGCTATCACATTCCAAAGTGGCACTGTTTTTTCTAATAAGCACAAAAGCACACAACGTTTATCAGTCATTCAGTATTTTATTTCAACAGACCAAGGAAAACACCGCAGGTAAAAGCAGAACTTTTTAAGCTCTTCTACACTTGTTTTGCCAAAGCTAATTACATGAAGTTAACGACCCTGGGAAGTTATTTAAGAAACAATATTATTGTGGTAGTAAAATTAGCTGTTTTGTCCTGTAGTAATCTCTTGTACCATGTTCAGAAGATAAGTGACTAGAATGAGGCTCACCAATACTGTGGCCTCTGCACTGTTTGAGAGTGAGCTTTTGCAGAGAAAGGGGATGGAACATGACAAGAGTAGCAAAAGATTTGGTAATGCTGATGAGTACTGGCAGCAGAGAAGCAGGCTCTCAGCAAGCTATGATCATTTACAACATACAAAGATTTGTAAGTTGGGGTTTTTTTCCCTGCAATTGTGCCTGGGCAGAAAAAAAAAAGAAACTCAAGAAGTTTTAACTGAAGATACTGCTTTTTAACAATATGCATTGTACTGTTACCCAGAATGGGGAATTAACTTTTTGGCCATTTATTTATTTAATTATTTACTTATTAAAGGAGCAGATCTCTACAGAAATGAAAAACTTTAAAGCAAAATTTTCAGCACTAGCTGAAGCACTGTAGTAAACTACATAGAAAGAATATTTACAAAGCAGAAAAACATAGAGATAGCACTAATACTAGAGAGAAAACAAGCACTATGTCTGAATAGGACACCTAGGTACAACACTGGACTGCACTGAGAAAAGAAGTACTACTTCATAACGTAGTTCTACAAATGTAAGCAAGGACAACATTTAACTATTAGTTTTTAATACTATTTCTACATAGAAAGAATATTTACAAAGCAGAAAAACATAGAGATAGCACTAATACTAGAGAGAAAACAAGCACTATGTCTGAATAGGACACCTAGGTACAACACTGGACTGCACTGAGAAAAGAAGTACTACTTCATAACGTAGTTCTACAAATGTAAGCAAGGACAACATTTAACTATTAGTTTTTAATACTATTTCTACATAGAAAGAATATTTACAAAGCAGAAAAACATAGAGATAGCACTAATACTAGAGAGAAAACAAGCACTATGTCTGAATAGGACACCTAGGTACAACACTGGACTGCACTGAGAAAAGAAGCAGTACTACTTCATAACGTAGTTCTACAAATGTAAGCAAGGACAACATTTAACTATTAGTTTTTAATACTATTTGGATGCCATAGTAAAGATCCAGTCTCTGCCATATTGTGCAAACATGCAGCAAGAGACTGGTCTGGCTCTAGATAGGTTAAAAACACCATAATTAGACCAGAGAGAACAACAGAAGAAATCAAGGGCCAGATTCTTCTAACAGAGATGATATCAGCCAAGCTTTAGAAGCATTGCCTCTTTCTACTGACTTTATAGGAAACGGGCTCTTAACTAAACATATTCCACACCTCATCTTGATACTTCAGTATTTTCTAGGTTACATAGTGCGAACAAATCCAGATGGATGAAATAATTTAGTCTAATCACATACAGCAAACAAGAGAACAAGGCTCATAAACAAAATCTGACTTCTTGTTAGGTGCCCAATCTACTGAGTACTACAGTGTCAGAGGCACAAAAATGGCTTTGCTGTAAGAGGAGACCAAACAGAGTAGGGCTTTTCAGCCCTGGAAAAGCCAACAACTGATGGGGGAATGACACAGGTCTAGAAAGTCTCTATTACAAATTAATATGGAAGGATTTTTAAAGAATCGCCTTTCATAACATAAACACAAGAGTAGCTTCTGAAACTCTCAGTTACCCAGTTTAAAATAAAAAGGAATTATTTCTTCATGCAACAACCACGTATCATTGAACTTACTAATGTTTTTCAGATTTTCCAGAGCATAAATAGATACATAAAAATATCAGACAGTTGTGGAACATGGGACACTGATGAATATTAAAACTGATGGTCCAGAAGACACCTCTGGATCAGGATTGCATCTGGAAGATGCTGTATCGGAAAGGGCACTGCTCTAAACCTACCTCATTCTTCACACTTGTTTCTGTCTTCTACTGGTCAAAGCTAGGCTAAAAGAGCTCTGACACAATACAGCAGCCCTTAAAACCCTTACTATATGTCTCCCACAATAGTGGGCAATTAATTGTTTCAGTTTCTTTGTAAATCATGGGCTCTGATGAAATTATAAAGTATGTAGGAATTTTTATTTTCAGTTGATTTAATGAAGCCATCATGACAAACACAAAACACTTCTTCCTTTGTAGCACATCTCTGGAAACATTTGTATGTTAATGAGTTGCATTATTGTTATCTCATTAAGTATGAACAAAAATCTGAAAAATGGTTTCTGCACTTACCTTCATCTCTGCCAGGCAACTGCTCAGAAACAGACCCAGAAGAATCTTTCCTCGAGAGAGACCTTTTAGTCTTCCCCTGCCCTGTACGACTTCTCTGACGTACCATAAATCCACCAATACCTAACAAGGAAGCAAAAATTCAAGACACTGATTAAAACTGTTTCATAGTAAGAATGAGAGCCAAGATTATTCTGTAAGTCAAGGGGACTACTGCATCTGCAGAGGTCTAAGAACAAATCTGTGATACTTAAGGAGTTTTCACTCAGATTTTTACAAAACTGCTCCATTTTAATATCATGGTGGATATATATTTAATTATCAAAAAAGATCAGAACTGTAAAACATCCACAACAAGGTCACATCACCAAACCTGGCAACTTTCAGATGCTGGTTTTCCCCTCTTTGGCAAGCTGATGAGATGCTAGAATTAGAAGTCTACCTACCAAATGTTACGTGTTAAAGAACCTTAAAGCACCACAAAAAAGGCCCACAAATTACTCTAGAGAGCCCACCACTCCACATGACTGTACTAGAGAAGGACATATCACAAAATAAAAGAATAATTAACAACACTGTGTTGCCTGAAACTCTAGAATCCTTCACTAGAGATTGACTGCAGTGCTCCTGATCCTTTACAGTTGGTGTCTATGTATGTACATGCATCAGATTCAGGCTTGCTTCATTTTTCAGAGAAACTGTTGGCTGCAGAAAAAATAACAGATGGCTGCTCAACTCATGATCCAAAACCACTCCAAGCAAATGAAGCTCTTCTCCTGAGGACCGAGCTGTAGAAATAAATGGCTTGTAGAGGTACAATGACTTGTAGAGACAAAGGAAATCTCTGACAAGTGATGTGGGTTTGTAACACCATCTCCTCAGGGTGAGTCCATGATGGAAGGCATTATACACACGTAGGCATGACCAGCTGAGACAGGCCACATACTCAGCAGTGTGGGAAATTATATGGAGAGGATGAAAGGTGGTAGAGATCTGTTCTGCTACTGAGAGAGAAGCAAGAGAAACAGGATTGTGTTCTAACTCCTGGTTCCCTTCCTTCCTTCCTTCACTCTACTCCTTGCCTTCACCTCCTCAATCACTTCATTGCCTCTGTTCTCCTCCCCTACTATCCTCATAATTGGAGGATATGGCCCATTCCAGCAGGCAGGATGGGTGGGACTGGTGAAAACTGCAGTATTTGTGAGTGCAAGGACTACAGTCCTTTCCACAGTAGTGACAGGCTACATAAAGAAACACAAGCCCAACACCTTAACACAGATTCTGAGGCATACCAAGGTGTGAGATACAGGGGCTCTTCAAAAAGCCAGGCAACATCTCAGCAGAGCTAATTATCTTGGGTTCAGTTTAAGCCCTAATATATCAGGGTTACTTCCCATGGAGTCACCTAGGTTCCTTTATCTTCTTCTGCCTGGTGACAGCTCAAGTGTTTCTGCACCCAGGACACACAGTTAATCCATGGTTGAGATAACTGAGTTGACTGAACTAATAAATTAAAATAAATGAATTTATTCAATAACTGAATTCATTAAAATTCACTGTCAGAAGTCATCTGCAAATATTTAGTAAATTACTTTTATCAAGTGTTTCAGAAAATAAGATACCTGCAGAAAGTTCTCTGAAGTTCAGATATTCCCAGATATATAGAGATGCATACAGGCACAGAAACTGGCCTTCATCAATTCTAGAAATACAGTACACTTTCCTATCAAATTAAGAATCAACACCAGGTATAGATTTGAACTACTAACCAATAATTGACAGCATCCTAAGAACAGGCCTACTGCTGAGCAGCAACCTTTGGAAATGTATTTTGATAAGAGGACAAAAAGCTATTTTAAACAAAACAGGGGGAAAAGATCTCAAATCAACAATTAGCAGGAAAATACTTCAGAATTCCATGCCATTTTCTAATTATACAGAAAAAAAGTGTTAGAACAAACAAGGGACACAGAATCATATACTTTATTGTATCCTACCAGGTCTATATGGTTTTCGTTTCCTTTTTTTAATCCCGTCAGCTCCTTCTGCCACTTTGGTATCATCATCCACAGCTTCCCGTTCCGGGCTGGAGTCTGATTTTCCATCACAATCCATAAGATCAGCTTCTGCAGAAAAGAGGCAATGGTAACTTTAACTGGACAAGGGAAAAGGTGCTTTTCCCAAATTTCTACATCTGACTGATTTCAGAGAAACTGACTAGGAATGACAGGTGTTTCCAAAGAGTGATACTCATACCCTCTGAACACTTTTGGGAAACCCATCCTATCTGTGCACAAAGACCCATTACACAGACACATTTCCTGCAAGATGAAGTCTACACAAAACCAGAGAATAAATGCTATAGTTGTTACACATGGATCTGAGACATTTTTTTGCCACCCCTTCCAGAAGCCTGTGCTATTGCACCTTCTACGTGCCTGAGCAATTTCTAGCCATGCACCAAGGAATAGGGATACAATTTACCCTGCAAGAGATACTTCATTTTGTTCACTGTCCTCCTAAGTTTTGCTTGGTAGGGCTTTATTTTATTGAGAAGACAGACTGAAAAACTGCAGCCTGGACTTGGAAGGTAATTATTAATGACTCTTAGCTTAGAGGGCTCTTGACTTGAAGCTGTGACTGACTGAAAGCAGACTTAGATATGAAAAGGAATTTGACTTATATGATAGAAAATTCTGCCCAAAGGAATTACTCAGACTCAAAGATGAAGAGTAATTTTGAGTTAGAGTTTATATTCTGTGGGAAAGCAGGGGAGAAACAGATGTGAAATATAATGGCATTGAAAAGTCTTTGGTGTTGAAGAGAGGAGTTGATTCTGTTTCTGATATCCTCAAAACATCAATACAAGAACAACCTTACATCTTAATTTTACTGTAAAGCTTTTAAAATGTTAGGTATACTCTTATTCCGATTCCCTGCTTTGGATTTAGCTGTATAATTCTATAGTCTAAAATCACATCCATTTTTAAAAGGAAGAAACACAGTTACAACAGACAGAGCTGGACTCTATGGTATCACTTCTGCTGTGGTAGAAGGACAAGCCTTGCTCTTCCAGAAGCTGGGTCATGGACCAGACCTTCCCATCAAGGAAGACTTCTCTGAGTTCTACCAACAAAGCTGATTGCTTGCCAAAGGCAGTCCCCAGTGACCACCACAGCCAATTCCCTCCTCCCCTTAAGCACATGGGTGAACCCTCTTTGAAACAAACCCTCTTCTGGCAGAAGAGAAACCTGAGTGATAACATGCCCTGCTACACAAAGCAGTGTCAAATGCCAAACCCTACAGTGGCCCTTCTTATTTACTTATAAGGCATAGTTCTACATGTTGTAGCAGAAAAGCCACACTAAGTCTACCAAAGCCAAAGTTCTCAAAGCAAGCTGAACTTTCAAGTGGAGCTTAAAATGTGGAACACTCAATGAAATGCTGAACCTGATGAAAGCCTATAGATCAGATGGTAACAAGATTACCATGAGCTCAGTTTTCTCTGATACAGCCTCTTTTCTCCACCTGGAACTTCAGAGTCACAGTAAGGCTTATTCCTGTTTGCCTGGCAATACCACAGCACGTTGCCTCAATCCCAGCCACGGCACAGCTTTACTCATCCTGATGCTCACACAAAAATTTCAGACTTTCAGAGAACAGGCACTGATCCACCCTACAAAGCTTCCAGGAAACCCAGCCAACCTTCCATGTATATGCTGTGCTGTTACCATCACAGACAGCAATGGGCTCTGACTCTCAGAAAGGCAACAAAAGGTGATCACAGCTGCAATTAAAAGCCTGTGGAAGCTTTGGCTCTGCCTTTCACACTTTGCTAGAACAGTTATATACTTTGTTGCCTAATTGAAAAGGGATGTATATAAAAGCCAACAAGCAGTTACTGAAGTTAGACAAAGTTATATAGAAAACAGACATTTGTAAAAGTAAAGATGATTAACTATTGAAAAAGAACAAGGGAAATGGTTAATTCTCTATGCTGATACCTTCAAACCAAAATCAAAAGCTTTTTTGCTTTCAGCAATCCACCTGATGGACTATGTGAAAGTATGAGATGAAATTTATAGAGTCAGTGTATGCTAAGACAATATACCAAATCCTGTGAACACGATGAAATAAAAGAAAACCAACTAGCTAACGTTTTTAAAGGTTATCAACAAATAAAGGGAAGCTATTATAAAAAAAAAAAATACACTTCTAGTCAACAGCAGACTGTTGGTAAGGTAAGAATGTGCTAATCAAACAACAGGAGCAACACTTGTATCAACAAGTTAACACTGAAACTGCATGATAGTAAAACTACCCAGTTATCTCAAGTACACTCTCTGTATCTAAAAAAAGCTTCTTATGACATTTAATCTGATTACAACAAGGCAATGTTGCATAAACAGAAAGCACTTTAGATTGTGGTGAGGTGGGGTGCCCATGCTCCTCTGTTCCTCACATAACAGACACCTGCACGACTGCTGTAGTGGCTTTCACACCTGCCATTTAAGTCAGTCTTTCCCCAGGGCACAGATTAACACCTATTCTACCAACACACTTGTCAGGACATACAGCCAGACCACAGCAAAGAGGACGGGAGAACGGCATTGCACCATGCCTGCTGCAGTTTCTACTGCTGAAGAGTAGGGCTGGCAGCTCCTATGTGCTTTTCCCACACTCATCTCCCACCTTCAGTCTCCTCTGGCTGGGGCTGCTGTGCTTGCTCAGCTGTGAGGGAAGCAGATGAGACAAGTATTGATGGCCCTGGGACGTGTGGACCTTCTCTCCATGTCTAGACTTCTAGTAGAAGGAGCTCTCCCAAGGGCTTCTAGCAGTGCCTGAAGTGTCATCCCCATACACAGGGACGTGTTTGGGCAGAGAAGCGTCAGCCCAGATCCCTTCATCTCTCATCAGCCTTGGAGGCCACAGAAACACTGTCAAATCTTCCTCTTCCTCCATACTACACAGATACCCCAATCCTAGAACCCAAAACCCTTTGAGAGGACTCTACATACAGTGTCATCGACGTTAACTAGAGCAACACCCAGAATTCACTTCAAAACTCAAATGCCACTTGAAATTCTACTTTAGAGATGAGGACAAAAAACATCAGTCTATGGAAATACAAGGAAATTATTTTTTTTTTCCTCAGGCTCTCAGATCAGCCCACGTTATTCTTTCAGAAGAAAAAGAAATCCTCTCAACAAATCCACTTTTCCCTTTGTTTTAGATACCAGTGATACAAATACAACTAACCTAGACACTGCTTCGCTGAGCCAATGTTATCACTTTCAAATGGTGTTTGCACTAAACCTGAGAGCCTCAAAATACACTTGTACTCAGTGAGGTCAGGTAACCCAAGGGTGAGACAAAAAAGCAGCTTCTCTTTCCAGTGTTGCCAGCCTTAAGTGAGTTTCCTATAGGATGGATGAGCCATAAACAGAACAACAAGGAAAACCACTGCAATGGGCAACAATGAGCCATGACTCTTATTGAAGTAGTTTCCATGAAGCATTCTGTACAGAAGCAGGGGTGGCAGGGTAACAACACCTCCCAGGGGTATTTGCAATACACACACGTACTGCAGCGCTCCCAGGTACAAGACATGCCAAAAGCAGACCGCTACCTCTACTGTCATCCATCTCCCCATCTCTGGAGTGTTCTGACTGGGCATCTGGGGGTGTCTGAAGCACAGCCACACTGTTCTGATTTATAATCTTCAGTTTAAGCTTTGGTTTCGTCCGTTTTCTTCTCGGTACTGTAACAGTTAGGCTCTGTAACTGAGACATGCCGGATTCTGTCAAGCAGACTCCATCCTGGGTGTATGTCTTCGGTGGGTCTATAAAAGTTAAATGAATCATAACAGCAATATAAAACTCTTTAATTTTACACGTCTTAGATTTTTAGGAATAGCACTTTTAAGAGTTAATAATCCATGTGTATGGAGCTGATTCATGAGTGAGGAAATTGGTATAAATAAACCACAGATATCTGATACTGTCTTACACATTACAGTTACAGCTCTGTAATTTAGAGTCTGATGTCAAATCCAGCAACAATCCAGCATTTGATCCTTGAATCTATCAAGGACTCATTAGAAAGAACAATTCCATTATGGAAACTGGTGCCTTGCAGGGTATTTCTGTGCCCCGTCACTCACATACTGCTGTGCAAGTCTTGCTTTGGGTCCCTGTTGCTTACCAGCCAAGGCCCTCATCCAGCCCTCAGCACTGTACCTTCCTCTCATTAACAACCTCAAGCCTCCCAGAACTCCTGGTAACTCAGGCAAGTTATCAGCCCTACTGTATAGGCAGACAAAGCCCAAACTGTATCAAGTGAGCTGCTCAAGATCAAACTTGAGATCAAAGGTAGAACCCAAGTCTCCCAAGACTTGCAAGACTGCTTCCTCTTCAAGCTGTTATATGATAATTGAGTACACCAGTAAGCTCTAACACTCCTTAATGCACCATGTAGAAAGGTGTTGGGACCTGTGCTGGGGGACTGCAAGTGGAAGTTTGGGAACTTTTACGGAATTACCAAATAAGGAAGAGGCTGCAGTGGTGTTTCTACTCTTTGGAGCAAATTTAATAATGATTTGGTAACACAGTTTTTGAAAAACATTGCAATACTTGTTCCCTTTAACCAAAAATATTTTCTATGTAACATCTCACACCCCAAAACACAGCTGGTTCTGAACACAATTCTTCCTAGATGACTGTTTTCTCATGTTGAATGGAAAAAAAAAAAAGTTTGCTTTAAAAAAAAAAAAAAATCACATACTCTTTTTCAGACTAAAGATTTGAGGGAAGAACATTTTCTCAGAACTACATTTCTGTGGTCTCAAATGGAAAAAAATCCTGATGTGATGGAAGCTGTTAGGTACTACCATGATAAAAACTGACTTGTGAGTAGGCTTGTCAAGGTTACAAGTTCCTGGTACAAACCAGACAAACACAGAAAAGTCGTGTCCTCCTACAGCTTGAGCCTGCAAACATTCGTGGACATGCTTGACTCGGCCCCACTGTGTTATCACTGCTAATACTAAGGCAAGCAACTTAGTCTGCAGGATCAAAGCATAATTTAAAGTAATTATTACAGCACAGGTATGGCAGGCAAAAGAGAAGGAAGAAAAAAGAATAATTAAAAAAAAAAAAAGCATGCTGTGGTAACTGAAGGATAGTTAATGCTGTGTGTTATAAGACTGTAGAAAAAGGAATTTTTGCCTCATGTATAAATATACCCTTAAAGTACTCTAAATGATCAAAGATTAAGCATTTACATTCTTTACCTAGTTCTTTTGATTTTGAAATAATCTGAGCTCCAACTGATGAATCACAACAGTCCAAAGAAGGCACTGAAAAATATAAGGAAAATAATTTCAACTTTTAAAAATGGTGACTTGATTTAAACTGAAACTATCAATTTTCCTTCAAACAGTTCCATTAACCTCCCTAATTCAAACTGTTGGCAACGTTCAGTAGCACCTTTAAAACAGAGTGCTTTTGAGTGTCACAGAAGATGTGACTACAGAACAAGCCTGACACAATCTGAAGCTCTCCAACTTCCTAGAGCCAAGAATGGCACCAGAACAGCACTGAACTCAACGGTAAATGATCTCCTTCCACTGGACCTCTGAATACACTGGACCTACTGGATTAGCAAAGTAACCTCTACACTAGCTATGATGTCCAGATTTTGCTGATCTAACTGTGAAAAATGGCAGGGCTTTGTGAATGGGGTATTGACCCCTGTGTAGTTCCCCAAGGAGGGGCAGACACACTCCAACAGCTTTCCACACAGGGTTCCAGTTGTGTCTGTGCTGTCAGGTCTCTTATACAACACACATGAGAAGGCTGATGTATCTGAGAACAGACGACTTGTTGAAGTCAGATAGTGTAATTCTTATTCAAGATAAGAATACTGATAAACGGAACAGCAGATTCTCAACTTAAACACTGCAGCTTGTGTGCTTCAGGGAAGCACTGCAACCCTGTGACTGAACAAAAAATGATCAAGATGTCCTGCAACACTAGGCTACTGTCGTGGTGGACAGAAATCCTCTTCCCATCTGCCTTAATTGCAATAGCCATAATCACACTTCGCTAACCTGTGCTGTGCAGACTAGACTTTTAATATTAGTAGTGACTTGACAGAGATTACGTAGACGGACTGAGTAAAGTGAAAATACGAAGCTTCTCCCTCACCAACACTGAGAACTAGAATCAGAAAACCCCTTAGTTTGGCACAGTCAGCAGTACCAGGGAGGCAAGTTTATACACGCCACTTTCTTCTCTTTTGCCTAGAAATCTTACCCACTCTGAATTTAAGGCGCAGACAAACATCTGGACTATTTACTTTGCATCTGCCACACAAGCTGAGACCACTGAGGCAAAGCACCTGTGGGAGGTTTGGTGCTTCCCAGACATGTCAGATCAGTGCACACATGCTGCTGCTGGCACTTCACACACAATATGGGAGTCGGGGGCAAAACTGGGAAAAGCACAAAAGCTTCCAAGTAACACTTACAGTCTTTGCTGAATACAATAATGAGTAAGAAAGCATCCTCTAGGTTTCAAAGTATATAAAAAAAATAAGGAAAGTGAAAGACTGTCCTCGGAACCTACAGACTTTCAAAGCTTCATGTAAGATGTAACTGAAGTATATGATATAACCTACAGAAAACCAATATTCCATGTAATTAGTAAATAAAAGCAGCCTATGAGAATTACTGAAAAACTCATACACAAGAGTGAAAGGAAAAACCAAGGAAGGAAATTAATTGAAAATGAGATTTTTGAAATGAGAGCCTGAGCTGGAAAGAAACAAAAAATTATGGGACAAGCTACATAATGAAAAATACTCAAATGCACTGAATTGAAACAACAGAAAAAAGGCAAACCGTAATAAATCCTCAGAGTGAAATAAAATCATCTGTTAATTTAATTGGTTATAATTTTCAAGATGTTTTAAGGCAAAGATAGCAATAATTGAATTGGAATCTAAGGTAAACAAAAAATTTGGAAAAACATCTAAGAATAAGAATTTGAAATCCTTATTTAAAAGTCAAACAACAGGGAACATTCTTCTGCTCTGGGTCAGACCGTGAACAATTTCAGCTTTGGAAACTGAATAGAGTTGAAATAATCAAATAAACAAGCTGATAGTGACAGAGGTGAGCCCTTCAGAGATCAGCTCACAAAAGCTGCATAAACAAACAGTGTTTGAAGACAGCATCAAACGGACTTCCAGAAAAAGAGCTAATTAGAGTGCAGATTAAGGATTAAAATCAATAAAATGGATAACAAAGAAACACAGTACTGTTAGAGAAAGACTGTTCAAGGGACAAAAAAATAAAAATTGAACAAAAAAATGCTTTCTGAGGCACTTAGCTGAAGTGTAACCAAAACCATTATGCTTCTTTGCAAAAGGGTTTAAACACACTGAATATTTTACAGCATTTAGTAGCTTCAGCTGAAAACAAATAATTGCACAGAACACAATACAATGAGAAGAATCACAGTTTCAAAAAGAAAGGGGGCTGCCATTTGTAAGGCTGTAATAGAGAAGAACAATTCTAGGAAGAAATGAAATAAGTGTGAAGAACAGAGTAAAATGGTTGATGCAGAAACACAACCCTGACAGAGCACTACTGGATGCCTGCTTAGCTGTGTGCATGATGCAGGGGTTTCTTTGTAAATACAGTAACTTACAAGAACAAAAGAGCTGACATAATAAATGTGCCAAATAATAAAAAAAAGCCAAGTGTTATTTTTTTTAATATACACTATTACACTGCTTTTGTATCTTGTATTTGTAAAGTACATAGGACTAGATTTCAGAATTAGGAAAAAATTGTTCCATGAAAATTGCGCAACAGAAGCTCCCAACCATAATACGTGTGCCACTGGCAACATCGAGCATCTCTGAATCAGTAACTGATACAAACACCTCACTGCCTTTGTTGACATGTTTACTTGAGCCACAGGAGGAACACATGGACAGGGGCAGCTACCAGCAACTATCACCAGATCAGCTGTAAGGAGCTGAAGAAAACCAGCGCTGGTCCCTTTGCTTCCTGCAAAGAAAAACAGCACCCAGGGAGCAGGAAGCTGGAGTGCGTGGATGGAGAGAGGGTGGGAGTAAGTGAGGAAGGGGTGAACTTTGCAGATGGGGCTTATGACATAAAGGAGCAAATACAGAAAGGCAGAAGTGATGGGTAGATGGTGGAGAATTGCTGGTCTAGAAGTGAATGTAGATGAGAGATGAACACACCTCTGCCAAATGTGGAGGAATTACAGCACGGAGGAAAAGGTGTTGCTACCTAGAGCAGCTGCCAGTACCCCACCACGATAATATGCAAGCAATCTAGAAATGAAATGTAGAAAAAAAATTTCTACAGGGCACAGTAATATGCTGGGGGACATATGTTCTAACTTGAGACCACACTAAAAGGAACCTGATGAAAAGCTGATCAGAGACGATTATTTCAAAAGAATCTAGTAGTGAAGGCTTATGGTCTACTACTTTGGAGCAAATCTTAGCACAATATGGCTTTGATATTTACATAAGTTGAAGAACAGAAAACCCTAATTATCTATTATTTCCTGAAGAAGATGACTTTGTAAGATTATCAGATATGCACTGATATTCTTAATGGATAAAGAAGAGCTCTGACAAATTTAAAAGCTTCTGTTTTCTGAAGTAAGAAAAATGGAAGCTCTTTCTCAATACCTACATGCTCTAAGTGTTTGCTCTTCACCAACACTAAACCTGCAGTGTACTGGTAATTTACTAGGCTGAGGTAATCTACTAGGCTGAGAGAAGCTCTTGCTTCTTCTACAAAGAAAGTAGCTGAAAAGTTTGTAATAGTACTTGCAATACATGAATACCCTTTGTGATAGACCAAATGGAAAGACCAAGAATCACTCCATTAAGAAAAAACACACAACATGGTACATTTTAAGAAGCTTTCTACTGTTAACTAACATCTGTTTCTCTAAGTTTATCAAATGCTAGTTGTTCTCAGCTTGAAACAAAAATTATAGAAAAATTTCAAAGGAGTTGTAGAAGAATTAATGAGACCAAAACATTTCATATAAAAGTTCATGCAAGTATTTCTATCAACATGCATCAAATGACATATTCAGACATGCAACGGTGCAAACATACAAGTGTTAAAGATGTATTTATACTGAGTCAAAACATGAAAGATTAAGTAGAGAAACTTGTCTTATAAAAAAAGGTGGGGGAAAAAAAAACCTGCAAAAAAAGCTTGGGAACTCCCTAACAGGTCTTGCAGGACTGGTTCCTATTCCTCAAAGACAAACCCAAGCAACACAACTTCATGAAGGTGTGCAGGAAGGACTAACCCAGGGCCAGCTTAAGCCTGGAAGTGAAACATCTCTGATACCATCTTGTGAAGTTGTTCTGTCTCCCATGTTATGGGCTTTAACTGTCTCTAGAAAGCAGCTATGCCAGCTCCAAAGAGAAAGGAAGAGGGAGTACCTCTTACTTGGACCTTTTTATTTTAAATTCCCAAGGCTTATTACCAAAATAAACAAGTCTGTATTATGTCTGCAAGTTCATTGGTTTTCCCACTTAGAAAACGTCTTCCTTTTTGAATTTGTAAAATCAGATCTCAAAAATGAAGTGACTTGTAGAAATAGCCAAGCGTAAGTAATTTTTCTAAGAGTGATAGAAGTGAGATACTTGGAAGTGTTCCACAACCACGTGTAGTTGACAAGGGAGTATATAAACCTCTGAGGTCATGCCTGTAAGTTACAAGTACTGCCACACTGTTATGAGGACATGCCTGGGTAACGGGACATGAGATGCTCTATTGAACTTTTCTTGGCAGACCTCTCAAACACATGCCTCATGCTATCTTCAATCTTGACCAAGAAAGCCAATCTTACTGACGTCTCCTTCGTGTACACCAATATTTCCTGAAAAGTTTGCATAGTTCTTGTACCTTCCTCCTCCCACACTCTCATGATACCTCAATAAGAGGTTAATGTGAACACTTTAACGTGCTAGTATGCTCAAAATGGGTATAGGTGTCAATGCGCTGTCAAAGCAGGAGACAAGCAGAAACTCCCATGAGCTGACATGCAGAGAAAACAGACCTGGGATACCACCCTTGTAGCAAGACCATAAATCATGTAATAGGCCAATCTAATTGCTGACCAGCCACTCACAGTGACATTAACCAGTACCATCCCACAGAACCAGGTGCTGCAGCTGTGCTTAAAGAGAAAAAATGCAGTAACCTCAGCTCCTCAGGTACCACTGCTATAGAGAACACAGACCAACAGGGAAGTTGGGAGATATATATATGTGCGTGTGTATATATATATTTTCTCTCATAATGTCTATGGAGAATAGCAAAGTTCATCAGAAAGAACTATACGTTTTAACTCCCAAGAAAGTGGGGACTCCTGAGCAGGACAGTATGGCAAATTACTTTAAAGGCTGTGGCTAGGGGGGCAAGCACTGGTCTTAAAGACTGGGACAGCTGAGGGAGCAGCATTAATAAAACATGAGGGAGGAGAGGGAAAATCCTTATACGAATTGTTGTTACAGCTACTGCTGCTTCAGACAGCCTCCAAGTACTGAAATACTGGAAGTTTTTCTGCTTAGAATTGATTTTCAGATTTTTCTGCAGTTAATAACTTATGAAAACTGTGCTTTCTTCCTTCCACTTGACCAAGTGAGATGCCTTTTACCCTTTCCATACCAAATGCTTTTAGTCCTTTATTCAAATTATCTTCAATAATCTATCCAGAATCCTCCCTGCTGGTTTTTCTTTGGCCTCGCAGCCAGTCACTAGAGGATGTGAAAGAGCTGACGACACTTCCAGAAGGACCCTTAAAATAAACATGGAAAGATCTTACTTCTACCACGAGCCAAATCTCCACCAGAGAACAGAACCGTAAGACATTGCCAAACCTATTTATTGCAGTGTGCAATCCTGCCATTGGTTTCAATTGTCTTCTTACCGTTTGTTGGTGGTATGTATGGCCTACAAATGGTACAGTCAAAACCCATATCAGCTATGTTTTCCACTTCCTCCTCTGTGTTTAAGTTCTGACAGATTGCATGCATCCATCTAGAAATTAAGTGGGGGAAAAAATACAATTTAAAGGAAATATGTGGTGTTTTAGGAGATCCAAATATCACTACACGGTCCAAGTAAATGTGAAATACTTGTTCAGTTTAAATTCTTCTACGGAGAAATTATGAATCAGGTTCTCCATATACAACACTGTCCTATGGTGATGTGTGTTAAATACTCTATATACAGTATTAGATTACCTACTTCCCTTCACAGGAAGGAACTGTCTATAAAACAATGTCCCAGACGCAAATATGTCTTAGTATTATAATTTTCTTCCTAAATTGCAATCATTTTAACTACTTACTTGACACAATGTAATCTACATTTAGCCTCACAACAGTAGTCTTCCAAGGCAAGTTATTTGGGTTTCTTTAACAGAGGGTGAAAATGAGGCACAGAGTGATTAATTAATTTGCCCAGAATCATACAGTTAAGTCTGTGGTACAACTGGGAATGAACTAATAAGAGACATTTGAGACTCAATCCAGTGCTCTTTACCACAAGCCCATTCCCTTTACGTTTTTACATTAGGGGAAAAAAAAGAAAATAAGACTTAACCAGGAAACACTTGTAAAATATTAGAAATCCTTACCGATCACACTGCCTGCACTGAATTATAAGCTCTTCATCCCTGTACGTGCGATAGCAGATTGGGCACGTAGACAAACTTGCACAGGGAGCACACTGTGTGTAATTATTTTGCCATTCACATCTTAAACCTGGAGAAGTTGCTCCACAGTGTCTGCACCAAACACACCTGCAGAACACACAAAATGATATATTACTTTCAGCTCACAGAAGATTACTTTGTGGCTTTAAAACCCACAGTGAGTAATTAAGTTTTACATCACTAACCATTGAGGGGTTGGAACTCATTTCAGGACAAACAATTTTAATTCAATCAAAACAGTATTATTTAGATTTTGAACATTACCAATGTTCTATTAAAACTTCTTAGAAAAAGTTCCTAAATAAGAACTCCCTTCAATCTGCAAAACTGGGCAGATGGGTGTTTGTAACAGCTCAACAGGCCAAAGGAGTTCCTGCTTCCAGCTGCTATTCACTTTGAGATCTGGAGTTGAAGACTGATCAGAATCAACCATGTAAGAGGTTGATTCTGGTTGCATTTCATCCAAGTAAAATGAATGGTTTTCAGAGGGTTTTATTTTGAGAACAATTTGGTGAAGCACCATTAATTTTTCCAAGTGAATATTAGAATGAACATTCCAATGAATGCAAACTGGATTTTTTTTGGCTAAGAGTTTCGAACAACTTCTTCCACCTCTACCTTAAATGAATTTTGGCATGAAGAAACAGTATTAAGAGAAGGTAAGTTTCCTTATTAAGCCGACAGTTGAATCAAACAATTCAAAAGAATTTTGTTTGCTTTGTTCGATACAATTAAATACAATTAAAACATTTTTACAGTTCAATTGACGTTGCTAACACGAAGTGACACAAGGAAACAAGAGAGGCCAGGGGTCAATATTTCTGACCCCAGAACCAAACCCACCATTTGCACTTCCAGCCTCCTTTTGGGACTGTCTGCAGGGGTGGATCCAAGCAGTACGTGTGGTAGCTGATGTCACAGTCGTCGCACAGGAGGAGCCTTCCTGGATCCGTCGCCTTCCCACAGGCTTCACACACTGTGCACTCCAGGCACCTCCAGCCTTTGCTGAGCACCACTTTAGTAATCTGCAAATGGCAAGGTGAAAATTATTTGAAATGCTGCTCTCTGAAGTGCGATCGTTGTATAAACTAAGTTCTGGCTGATGAAGAATAGGATGCTCTTCTGTGCACACTCTCCACATCACAGGTAACTGGGAATGGGTCATACAGAAAGAAACTGTAATTATGAACATCTGATACTGTTCCAGAGTTTAATTTCTTCAGATAAACCAGCATACCTGAGAATATATACTGCACTGGATCTATGTGTAGGAGTTTGCTCCTTACAGGAGTAGATGGTCCTGTAGGGATGAAGAAGGTCACCCAACTGCTTTACTTCAGCTGCACAGTAAAGCCAGGATTCAGATCACTACCAATCCTGTATCTTTCATAAATTATCTGTGGTACCCAGTGCTGAACTTTTAGTCATGTAAAGCAAACAACTAGTTTATTATAAATAATATATAGTGTAAGAGTAGTATATAAACACAAAGTCAAGTTATAATTGTATGAAATATGCATATGGCATTTTGTAACATACGTTTAAAAGAAACTTTCGTGATGTGTAAAACGAATCCCACTTTCACACAGGTGTGTAATAAACAGTAGTGTAGAGTACATACACTGCAGTAAATAGCTTATTATGAGCTTGCTAAGTCATCTCATACCATTTAAATTTAATTTTCACACATTCTCTCCTAGACTAATGAATGTAAAATGTATTAATTAACCACTCCAACTGCCATCAATTCTGACAGCCAACAGACAAATTGAATCAGCTAAACCTTATGCCCCTAGTAAATGAAGATGCGGTAGAATTTTTTTTTCTTTGTTTTGAATTCTGCTTGTATTTAGGCTTTAAGCTTATATCTCACACTGTTATTTTAACCAACTGCTGGATAATCAGCACTATTTATGGTTGCAAAATTAGAAAAAGGTTAATTTCTCTTGAGGCAATGCATACTATAAAATGACATTTAATTAAAGTCTTTCACAAGTCGCATACAAATAATGGTCACATTAGCGGATGAATATCTAACAAGTTAATGACTCCCCTAATTACCACAAAACCAAAGGCAGTATAGTGCTATAAAAGCACAATATGAAAACAAGGTAATCAAGAAATTTTTTTTATGGAAGGAAAGCACTCACCTTAATACTGACACAGTATGGATGGTAACACTGCCCACACTGAGAACAGGCGAGTAACCTGCCCTCAGCACCTTGGCCAAAACTGCCACACACAACACACATATCCTGAAAGGATAAGAGAAAAGCAGATTCACAATACATGCTAGAAACTTAACTGTGAAAACATGCAACTGTAAAACCCAACTAGCTTGCTGTTATCATGTAACTCCTAACAAGGACATTCATTAGTTTTTTTTCTAGTTATAAAGCAGAAAACCAAAATTAAAACACAGCAATTATTATCCTAACCTGATGGAGAGTGAACTTGTCACTGTTAGAGAAGAGGACAACTGTATTATGCATTGAGTTTTCTTCCTCGTCTTTGTTAGATGAAATATCCATAGTTGTGACCTATTAAAAAAACCACAAAACATAAATAGCGAACAGATCACATTTTCTAAGACATAAGACAAGATGAAACTTACTCTCAAAATATGTTTTTACAATAGAACCAGAGAACAGAAGCTTTGCAAATACTCACACAGTATGAACTACCTTCATCAGCAATTTCTGTACTAATTGACATTTTTACACCAGTATAAGCATGATTGCTATTTCAGTTTTACACACATATTCTCTTCCTCTCCTTTGTCCACCTTTACATACTACCACATTGCACTTTAAAATGCAAGTGGAAAGAAAGTAGTCTAAGAAATTTTTTTTGAAAAAAATCACTAAGCAGAAATTCTCATACTGTGACCAGTCTGTTCTGTTCCATACATATAAATAGTAAAGTTCTTATAGAAAAGGTAACTGCAGTGATGTACTTTCGAGTATTAATTCAAAGAGCAATTGTAGAGATGTAATTTGTCCCATATTGTCTAAAATGTGGTTTAGCTTGTGTTCCAAGTATGTTAGAGGAATGAGCAAGAGTTCCCAAGTTACAGGAGTTAAGATACTCTCTGTAAGCAATTTCTTTATGAAGCTTATCTATCTTGCCCGTAAAAACTTGCACTGAACTTGAAACAGCTGTTCTGATCTCAACCCATGAGCTCTTACTGCAGCCAGTTGTTCTCCTTTTGAGCAAGAGACTGTTACTCTGACCTGCACTTCATCAGTTCATCATATACACGTACATATAGCTTCTCAGGAAGAAAAACAAGAAAAAAAAGAGTTCAACTGTGTTCTAACTTCCATGCAAGTCTTGCTATGCAGAATTTGCTATCCATGAGTTTCAATTAACAGGCCTATTTACTCTCTGAACCAGTAGTGGCCATGGAAGTGTGGAGGGTAAGAGTGCACACAGTTCTATACAAAAGAAAAAATGCATGCTAGAGAATATAACTTTGTTTTATCAGCTTTTCTAATTTTATAAATGAGTATTATTTTAAATATCGGTTAAGTCTTACACAGTTTTGTTTAAATAATAATTTAACATCTCTTACAAATCCAAACATCACTCTGGAGATAAATGCAAATACTGCTGCAATAGCTACAGGAATCCTTCTGACACACTGCTGTTGAAAACCAGCATTTATTGAGAAATAGCTAAAAGGGGGATATGTTGTTAATGTGTTTTAATTACTGTATGGTTAGAAAGCACTGTGGCTGTAACTAACTACTTAACCAAACAACACCCAAAACACCTCTTGATATATTCAGGGAGAGCTTTTCCATAACATGTATTTCCACAGGTTCTACTAAGTTCTTGGAAATGTTTGCACATACAAAAGAACAGAATTTGAAGGACTAAATCACTGTAATTTTGATGCTTGCTTAATGCCAGCCGTGACTCAGCTGAGCTAACCTGTAGGCACCTTCTTCCCCATTCCCAGGATATACCCAGCTATTTCCATTTTTGTGTAGTTGTCCACTAGCCATGATCCCACACCGCGTAAGAATCAGTTTGTGCAAAGGGGTTGAAAATGTTCCCATTTCAAACATTTCTCTGGAAAAAGGCTGGTCTCTTGGTAATGCTGCTTTCATCTACTCTATCACAAGACTGCCAGATCTCTGCTTTAGATCTCATGGAGCTGCCATTAATTTGATGAGCCATAGGATCATATTTCTGTAGGAAATTGTGGAGAGTGATGTCCATTTTGTATGTACAGCAATTTACCTAACTCAACAACAATAGAGACATTTGTTCCTTTCCCAGGTCACAAATACCAGAGTATTCCAAGAAATCATTGTATTGGCAGCAAGAAGTGGCACAATGCTGTATACTGTCAAACAGACTATGTAAGAACAGAAAAAAGCAGGTCAAAAGGGACTCTGAAGAATTACTTCTTAAAGACATAAAAATGAGTAAGTCCTTTTCTGAACACAAGGAACAGGATGCCTCAAAATGTGTGGGTCTGATTGATAATTAAACTTTACAGGGAACATTCAAAGAAGCCAAGTTAATATCAGGAAAAAACCTTAATTTTTTGCAGTCCAGATTCCCAAGTTTTTCATAATAAAATACCTTTTCTTACGAGAAGCAGACCAGGACTGTGTAAGATTTAAAAGTTTTAAAAAGACTTCCAAGTATGAAACAGCTTAACTATCAATTGCAGCAAGCACAGACTTGCTTAGAATCACTTCAGTGCTGTAGGAATGGGACACTGCAAATGTCATTTTCTCCAGGGTTTTTGGGGAGAAGCCATATACTGTCCTACAGAGTATCTGACATTTGGTCACAAGAGAGAACTTGCAACCACATTAATATATATTATATTTTGTTAAAGAGTCAAGGAAGCTTTAATTATGGTAAATCAGGAACTATCAGAGCTCCCTGAAGGAGTCAGCAAGCCTGGGGACAGGGAAATCTGACTGATGTATCTTAAGTCATTTACCAAAAGAATTTGGTAAAGACTTTTACCAATGCTCCTTAGAAAAAGGTAAGCTGGCACAGAACTAGAGGAATGCTCCCTGTATTGACAGAAGACATGAAATGTCTTCAATACACTTGTGTGCAATCTACAAAATCAAGCAAAGTGACAAAGCTTGCCAAGAGTATTAAGATATTCAGAGTAATAAAAATCAAAAGACAACTGCAAAGAACTGCACAAGAACATCATAAAGTTGAGTGCTAGGCTATGAAAAGGCAGATGGAAGTCCAAATAGGAAAAAAGAAAAAAAAAAGAAAAAAAAAATTGCCAAGGATGATCAAAAATATGGAATAGCTTCCATACAGAACAACTCAAAACACTGGGATTCTCCCAACTGGGAAGGAACGAGTG